CACACTCCTGAAATAAAAAGGAGACGTGTGCACACTCCTGAAATAACAAGGAGACATGTACACACTCCTGAAATAAAAAGGAGACGTGTGCACACTCCTGAAATAACAAGGAGACATGTGCACACTCCTGAAATAAAAAGGAGACACGTGCACACTCCTGCGATAAAAGGAGACACGTTCACACTCCTGAAATAAAAAGGAGACACGTGCACACTCCTGAAATAAAAAGGAGACACGTGCACACTCCTGCGATAAAAGGAGACATGTTCACACTCCTGAAATAAAAAGGAGACATGTGCACACTCCTGAAATAAAAAGGAGACACGTGCACACTCCTGCGACAAAAGGAGACATGTGCACACTCCTAAAATATTAGAAAGACATATGTGTGGTTCGTGCAAACTCATCAAATATGTCACAGACATATACAAATTCTTAAACAATGGAAAAACAGTGCTCCCCCTCCCCCCACAATTTGAAATACTGAACATAATTTGGTCGGCTTTTCTCTTTTATCCCTCTTGTCGGGTTTAACTAACAAGTATAATAACAACTCCGTAAGATTAAAGATTGTTGGGATTCTAGACCAAGATGCGATGGAATTTAAAATAGAAGCAACTGAATGCATCTCGCCCTGGTTAGTCCGGTGTGCCCCCCCCCCATAATAAAAAACATATAAATTATTATTTACTTGGTTTGTGACAATATTCTTCTCTGTAAATTTGTTTACGCACAGTCGTCCTTGTAGTATTACAACAGTTAGTCCTAAACATTAAATCATAAACAGCAATGCATCAATGTATAGAAAACACACTCAACTAGTAGAATTCAAGCAAAATTACTGGTATGACTTTGTATAATCTTAGCTCCACTAGTTTTGATTTACGCACAAGTACGGTTACATATTTAGAAATTCAAAACATTTTTGTTCTTCGCAATAATTCATCAATAAAAGGAGCTATGATTTCATTAATCCGTGTAAATTGCTTCAGGTTGACGTGAATTAAATGGGGTATAGGCTTAGTGCGATAAAAAAAGCGCTTTTAATCGCTAATAATCGTACTTCTATCTGTTGCATCTATAAGGAGAAAATTGTTAAAGACGTCTCATACCGAATAACTTAGCGCCCATACAAATTCAGAAAATTACAACATTTGGCTTAGACCGTAAAAAAATCAATTTAATTCCAAACAAACCATTCAGATATTACAACCTATATTCATCGACTATCTTTCGCCACATTTGTATATAGTTTATATTTTATAATATTTTTTAATTAATTTGTTTTGAATTTGATTATTTCTCTTGCGGCTTGCGCAACTATCTAAGAATGCCGCGGACCACTCACATTTTTAGAAATCCGTTAAAACGTTTTCTAAAAAAAGAAAATATTATAAAATATATACAAANCCCCCCCGAGTTTTTTTGTAAATATGCTTTCTCAATTTTTCCCATAATTGTTGTGCTTGATGAAATTTAATCTCTTTCTAAAGTCAAATATACCTGTAGAGAAAGGGATTTTTCATCCCCGTGGCCTCCGTAAAAAGTTTATAAGATCAAAATAAATTTTTTTTAAATTTCACACTTTTTAAAATCACTTTAATAATCAGTGGAACGAGATTTTTAAACAAAAGTTAATATTTGTTTACCTAATCCTATTGAGATGAAGTGGAGAGTACGAATACAGTAAACTTGAAGAAATGAAGATTAAAAATTTAAGTATTATAAACTTTTAGAATTTTTCCCATGATTAGTTTTGATAAAGTAATAATTTTCGGTTAAAACATTTCAGACAAATAGTTTCATTTTTCCTAAATGTAAAGATGGAAAAATGCTTCGTTTCTTTTTCATAGTTTAGAATCTGTTCCTAAATATTGGAATTTTACATAAGAAAGCTTCTTTTGAATTTTTAAAAATGTTTTAAAGTCTTGAAGGAAATGAGTTTTAGCCACAAATGATTTTTAATCCCACTATCTCTGCAACCCGATGTCGTAGAACTTTCATGTTTAAACTATGAACTTTGTCAGGTCAAATATTCTAAGTTTAAAATATCAAATAACGCTAATACAGGGTGCCCCAATAAACATGGAAATTCAGTGACGAATTCGATATCGTCTTTTTTATGAAGTAGCATTGTAATACCTAATTTCAAAAAGCATGTCTGCTTGAGTTTATTTGATGAAAAAGGTAAATGTCTGTAAAGATGTGTCTCCGCAAGATGAACAGTGAAGACGGACAAGTTTACTCTATTAGTATACTGCAATTTTCTTGTTTTACTAAGTACAACCGTATGCAGTAAAAACATAAACAAACTAATTGTAAACATAGCAGACGAAAATTTTACGGATTCCAGCTTTCTCAGTAGGTATCACTATACTAAATCGAAGAATTATTTTAAAAGACGATATCGAATTCGTAACTGAATTCCCATGTTTATCGGGACACCCTGTATATAGGGATTAGAAAATTTGAGTTTGTGGTAAAAACTAAATTCCTTTATTATAATCTTTAACCCTCTCCAAGAGCAGGAGCCGAAATATAAATGAGAATGTGAAAATGACTCAGCCCACGCTACACAATTAAGCATGTTTCTTGTACAGTTTACAATTCTTGACTGTTTCTTCAATATTCATATTACCCTCCAAACATATAATCATAACATCTAATAAAACAATAGATAATTGTTTTTCCTTTACCAGCCTAAACAAAAGAAATCAACTTCTAACAAATAAAAAGGACAAAAAAAGCATTTTTTGGAGCATTTTTGTCATTTATCAACCAAAATTCAGCTTAACAAGAATTCTGGAGATTAAAAAAGATTGAGATCAAGCATTGATCTCGATATCCGCAATACAAGAGTTCCCGCCGCTTGTATTTTTTAAATTTCTAGAGTTGAACTTTTCATTACCGAGTCTGTTCATTACCCGGTGGTAAAATAATTATCTATGCTTGCTTATTTTCCTCCCTCACCAACTTATTCAATTAGAGCCTGGAGAGTAAATACACCTTGAGGTCTTTCAACTGGAGTTGGTCATTGTTAATACTCCGTGTGAGAATAATTGGACTAAATTTTAGTTTTCAAATCTTCTTTGCTGATATTTTATGCGGAATAGTATTATACAGTTTAGCACAGAACATCAATAGAATTTATAAAATGTAATTTTCTTCTTAACCTACAGATAATGAAATTATGCAGATACATTTTTAATTGAATATGAAGCTCTTTAAAACTGTTCCCGCATATTTCATGGCTTTACAATTTAAGAAATCTACATTAGAGGAATTATAGTTCATCGACTTAAAAAATTGGTGCACAATTTTCTTCTGAGGTAATGATAGTATTTAAAACAATAATAATAATATTAATAATAATAATAATAATAATAATAATAATAGTAGTAGAAATGAAAATAATAGTAATAATAATAATAATAATAATGATAACGATAATAATAGTAATAACAATAATAAT